CCCGGTCACGTCCTCCACCGCCCCCCCCCCCCCGACCTCAACTCTGGCTCACACCATCCGACCGCGGTCCGCCCTAGGCTGCCCCTTCGAGTCAGACTGCGCCGGTCCGGGCTACGGGACGAGTCACGTCGCTCGCCATCCTCGGCCTGCCTTGCCTGGCTTCGCCGTGCCTGTCCGTCCTGCCCTGCCAAGTGCGTATCCAGTCGTGCCATGCTGCCTGGCTCAGCACCGTGTCCATCATCATCGTGGCCACCGAGGCGCTTGTCATGTCGAGACGCGATGGGGTAATCGACCCAGCGTGGCTCGGATCGTCGAAAAGGCGTACCCTAGCCTAGCCTAGCCGGCCTATGCCTCGCCAGAGCGAGTAGTCAGGATTTGGCTCACGCTCCGTGGCACCCTAGCACTCGCCTGCGTTGCTCACAGAGGGGGCCCACGACGGCGTGACCGCAGAGGTCCTCGCTGGCGCCGGGCTTCCGCTAGGCGTGCGTGCGTGCTGGCCACCTGGCTGAGCCTGCACCAGACCGCCCCGACGACGACGACAGCACCACAACCACCACCGCCCACCCCGGCTGCTGCCGAGGATAGGTCTCATCCAGGGTCAATTTGGGCCTGGGGCGGCCCTGAGCTCCGCAGCCAAAAGGGCATCGTCGAGCACCTCATCCGCTACCGCGCACGAATCAAGTCAGGCGGATCGCGGCTGGCGTGACCAAGGTGAGTACAACAATGTGTAGGTTACCGCTTTGCCTTGCGCCTTGAAGTCGAGTCAGGATGAAGTCGTCTGCTCCGCTCAGGGTACGGAGATGTGCTGACGCCATGCACCCCGCTGCCCGCCGTGCTTATCAGATTCCCCCGCCAGCGCACTGCAGGCCAAGTTGGGCCTTTTCTGGAAGCGGATGGCGAGGCGAGGCCAGGCGGAGCACGCCAGCATCCCCTCGGCGACGGATGGAAGGACGTCGTCATGCCATCCGCGGTACGCCTTGCCGGTACGGGATGAGCGATCAGGATCAGTAGTGGCGGGACCCGATTGGTACCGGTACCTGTCGCACCGGGACGCGATCGTGTGACGCCAGCGTCTCATCCTGGTCTCAGCCACGGGCAAGCCGGGAGAGAGGCTAGGGATCTTCGATCAGGGCGGCCCTCTCCTCGGCCAAGGCCGGGCGACGTGTCTCTTGATCTCGCCCCCTGCTCGCGACAGAGCCGAGCGACATGTCAGCAGCACCCTTGCCTGCTACCGGTGCCGGGCGTGAAAAGCATCGGGAGCATAGCATCGATCCTTCCATCTCCCCTTGGTTGAGTAGCCACCAGCATCAGCTTACCAGACAAACGCTTCGGTGACCTAGATCCAGACAGCCAGCTGGCTCATGGACCCTGCCTGACTCTCTGGCAGCCCATCACCACTCCGGACTCAGGCCAGGCCAGGGGCCAGGCCCCGGCCCCGCTCGCTTGCGCTCAGGCTTCTCTACCCTCCTGTCTGTTCATTGCCGATGCTCGATATGGCAACCAGCTCACTGTCAGCAGCAGCTTGCGAGGGGATGTGCGCAATCGGAGCGGGTCGGGATCGTCTTTTCCTTGCCAGGCCCGCGTGCACATCAGAACACCACCTGGCCACCGCTACCCACCTGTAGCAGATCCGCGCTCGTTCGGGAGGGAGGTCCAGGTGCCGAGCTCCCAATGCCTCGTCCCCTTTCGGGACGTCATCGAAGCCATTGTCTGACCGCCAAAAGGTCCACGATGGAGCAGCTGTGGGTGGCAGCACATCCCGACCTCTCCCGCAGATAGCAGCGCACCACAGAAGCCGTCATACCGTCAGCAGCAAGCCGCAGTCAGGCGAGGCTTCGCACGCAATTGTTCGCACCCGATCTGGTCCGATCGTGAGGATGCTTTGTGAGCGTGGAAAGAGGCAGACGGGGCGGGTCTGGCTTGGCTAGTGTTACAAGGAGGGGCACGACGAGGTATACAGTTCGGGGGCGGCGATGATGCTGGACGTCTGGGACAAGAGGGCGGCAAGTGGCGAGGAAAGCTGCACAAGGCCGGTGGGGCTGAGCGCGCCTTCTTCTACTGCTGCTCGCCCTTGAGCTGGCGGTCGCGGGCCTCGTCGACGAGGCTGCCAACGACGCGGTAGCCGCGCGGCGCCTTGCGGCTCGACTTGCCGGCATCGACGACTTCGCCCGCCGCATTGACCCAGACGGCCTCTTCGTCGGTGAGCGCCTGCTGCTCGGGCGTGTCGAGTCGGCGCACATTGTCGACGTGCAGCAGCTCCTTGACCGCCAGGATGGCGCCCGCCATCTCGGGTCCAATGGGGCGGTAGACGCTCTGCAGCCGCTTCGTCAGCCCGAGCGAGCTGAGGATCCGGTTCGTCTTGGCAGGCATGCCGATGCCGGACCGGCGCAGCGTGATGCGGTAGTGGGTCGGCGCCGTGCCCGTTGCGGCGGCGACACTCTCAGAGGTGGCCGTCGACGTCGACTCGAAGCGCAGCATCGACCGCGAAGACGACGCCACCGGGCTCGCCGTCAGCGTGGCGCGACGGGAGCCTTGGCCGACAAGGGCGAGCAGAGATCGACCGGAGAGAGACATTGCAGAGGGTGAGGATGAGGTTGAGGTCGAAGTCGAGGTCGAGGTCGAGGTCGAGACTGTTGATGACATCGAAGAAGCGAGCACCGTGGGAAAAGGCAAGGCCGACATCGTCAGTGAGCCTGTCGGTCGTCGCTGTTAACTACTCGCGACCGCTACCCTCCCCCCTGCTGCGCCAGACTGGCCTGGCCTGCGCCCGAACGAGGGCGACCACCGACACTGCCCGCAAAAACTTTCAGAAAAACCTGTTCTCGACCTAGCGTAGCGCGGCACCCATTTGCCTCCCGATCCTCGGAGCCACCCGAGCCCAGCTCCTAACGACCGTCGGGCGTCTCGACGTAGCCCCGAGAGGCCACGGAGAACGCCGCAACAGGAGGAGCGGGCTCAAAGGTGGCGGATGAGGACCCCAACGACGACGCTGCCGTCATCGCCTCTGTCCTGAAAGGGGAGGCCGCCCTAGCTCCGGAAAGGATACCGACCCGGGACCCCTCGAGCGCCGCAAGGACGCGAGGAGCCCGAGCCGTGACCCAGGAGCCCGAGAGGCCTCCCCAAGACGGAGGCGAGAGGCGGCGCCTGCGAAAACGGGAAGAGGCAGAGCACGCAGACCGCCCGCTCACGACGGCTCTTCCTAATGCTATCGGTTTGACGAAGATCATCACTCGGGCGGGGCAGTGGTTGGCGTGGTGCGTCCATCGTTCCGACGCTTCCGAGGCCATTCAGCCGGCTCGCAGCGCAGGGAGGAGGCATAGGCGATCAACGAGGACAAGGGACATGGAGCATTCAGGGTACGCACCGTCAGGCTGGAGGCTCCAGACGGCGACTTGATGTAGTGTACAGGAGGACGGAGAGCAAAGGGAGGGATATGGAGAGCGGAGAGAGGCTGACTGTAGGTGGGCGACACCAGGACGACCGATCCGATGGAGAGCGACATCGAGCGAAAGCGCGAGGCGAGAGCAAGACGGCAGGACAGAGGCAGAAAGGTCAGCCGAATGTCCTCGAACGACCATCGAATGGGGTTCTTCGGCAACACATCGCGCCTGGACTGGTGTCCAAGGCGAGGGACGGTGATCCTCAGACTTCCAAGGAAGGTCTGCGACCTCTCACCGGACCAGGGCCGGCTGCGATCCTGGCGATGCAAACGATCCGAAGCAGCACCGCTGGCCAACCGACACTCTGCCGTAGCAGAGGGTTCGAGCCGGTGACCTCTCGACGAGCGAGATGGATGACCGCCCCATGTGGATCTCTCGCCAGGAGAGCCAAGGTGCCCCACCCCCGAGGGGATGCGAGGGTCCTAGAGGGGAAACTGCGAATTTTGGCTGGATACCAAGGTGTATCATCGTCGGATCGTCCCCCGAGTGTGGCGGGTGATGACAGGATGCACGAGCGGGGTATACTCACGGAAGGGGTGGAGGCGGAGTGGGCGCGGCAAGGAGGTGGATGATGACGAGCGGCGGGTACCTGGTATCGACCGAGCGAGAGCAAGGATGGGTGGGGTAGCCTTGGGTCAGCGTCTGGGCAGCTATGTTGGAGGGGTCGCTGCTGCTGTTGCTGCCGCTGTCGCTGCCGGCCGGGCCCATGTCCCGTCCTTGGTCGTCTCGGACCTCGAGCAACGCCGCGCTGGGGGGGTCTGCCGTATGCTTCCTCAGGCAAAAGTGTGCTGGCATGCACAAAGGTTGTAAAATGCCCATTGCGAGTGGGCCCTTTATCGTCTCGGCATGGTCGTGTAGGCCGGGGAAAGGAAGAGAAGTCATCTCTGGAAAGCATAGGTCATCCCCCCCGTCTTGCGTGTCGGCCGCGCTTGGAGTCCAGTCCGGTCCGTTGGCGAGCAAGCGACGAGCAGCGAGCAGCGAGCAGAGCGAATGCACCGATGGCGAGGGCCGCAAAAGGCGCAGGTGAGACTTACCGGAAGGGCTGATGGGTGGTGGGAAAAGAGAGGGAAGAGGGGGAAGAGGATGGCGGACGCAAAGCTTTTATGCCTTGCTGGCCTCGGTGGCTCTTCTCGTGCTGGGCAAAGGGGGGGGGGCAGGGGGCAGGCGAGCGAGCGCCGGCCTGTTTTTTCTTTTCTTCTTCGTTCCGCGCGGGCCCTTGGCTGGCTGGCTGGCTGGCTGGCTGGCTGGCTGTTCTCTTCTGCTGGCCCAGCTGGAAATTCGGCGAGCCGCAGCCAGACCGGGCCAGGCCAGGCTGGCCGCTCCTTTTTGCTGGCGCTGCTTTGACTCGGCCGGGAAGTGGGTTGCTCCACTTTTTCCATTCCCTTGACGATGGGTCAGAGCCTGCCGGGCTGGGCTGGCTGGGCCGAGCGAAACGACGAGCGGGTGGCGGTGGGCGGGCAAAGGCATGTGTTGATCCCCGCCCGGCTGGCCGCCTGCACGCCCGCCCCGCCAGCTCGCAGCTCGCTCCCTGACGACGCTGACGCCAGGCGAGTCCAGTCCGGAAACCCTGCCTCTAACCTTGGTTCAATCCTCCCGACCATCTATCCATAGCATCGACGTCGGATCCTCTCCGACGCTCCACCCGCACCGCCACACCCCTGCCTCGATCCACCTCCTCTGCCGACACACGGCGTCGACGGGGCGAGGCGAGGCCGATCATTCAGCTACCAGCGCCGTCACAGCAAAGAGGGCAGCCTAGGACGTAGAAGAGCCCGCCGGTGGCGGCGCAAACAGCACACTCGCAGACCGTCCATCTTCCCTCACTCTTCTCCACAACGCGAATCGCTCGAACACCTTCCTCTGGCACAGCATACCTCCACCATGGACGCGAGCACCTCGGTCATAGACCTCACGGCGGAATCGCCACCCAGCCACCACGCCCGACTCCGCCGCTCTAGCTCAGAGGCCGCCCACCGCCTCCGCCGCCGTCCGTCAATCGACGCACTCGTCTCCGAGGACAACCGCGGCGCAGGACCGTCTCGGCCGCGAGGCAACCCCGCACCCAGGCCGACTGGCGACGCCGGCAGGCAAAGCGGCACCCGCGGTCGCGCTGACGACGGCGATGACGAGGTCTTTTTTGTCGGCATGACGGAAGCACCTCCCGGCGCTCAGAGAGACCTCGGAGACGGCGGCCACTCTTGGCAAAGGGGTGAGCAGAGTCGAACGAGCTCGCCATCCAGCCTCTGTCGAGGAGGCTGTTGCTGACCTGGTGTCGGATCCATTTACTGCCTCTCGCTCCAATGCAGCTTTCTTGGGGTTAGCAGACGAGCCGGAGCGCCGAGGCCGGTCTGCCAGACGCGGAGAGGCTCGCGGCAACCTCAACATACACGATGGCCTGCCTCGAGGTCCTCATGCGAGCAGCACACGCGCCCGTCCAGGCCCCGGCCCAACGCTGCAAGCGCTCCACAGCCACCTCGCCTTTCCTCCGCTGGCCTCCAACCCGTTCCAGGTCCGCCACGTGCCAGACGAGGCGTGGACAAGGATGCCCGCGATGCTCACCGACTACCTCGATGCGCTCATGCGCGGCCCCATGGCCCGAAGGCCCGGCACCGCCGCCGCCGCCGCAACGTCCAAGCTGCCTGACGAGTTCGACGCGGCCTGGACCCACCCCACGCCGGCCAAGGCCGGCTTTAGCGACGACTTTATCGAGCCGCCCGTCGACCTCGACACCTATTTCGACGACAAGGCCATCGTGACGGGACCCTTGCCCGACACGACGCCGATCTGCGCCGACTGCCGGCACGCGCTGGTGCTGGGCGGTGCTGGCGACAAGAGGATATGGGTGCTGCCATGCGGCCACGTCGTCGACGGGCGCTGCATAGCGCGGCTGAGCGGCCTGCCCAGCGCGGCCGAGCGACAGAAGAAGGAAGCCGAAGCCGCAGCGGCAGCGGCGGTCACAGAGTCGTCGCGGCGAAAGGGCAAGGCGAGAGCCAGCGAGGCCCAGGTCGAGCCCTCGTCCGGGCCCATACGCAATACGAGGAGCAGGGCGGCGATGCAGGCGCCCGCCCCCGCGCTAGGCGGCAGCAAGCCCGACAAGAAGCCCAAGAAGTTCCGGTGCCCCGTCGACGGTTGCGGCCAGATGGGTCTCATGGAGTCGGGCCACAAGATCTCGTGCATCGAGGCGTTCATGTAGCCTCGTCTGCTGGTGCTGCGCTTTCCAACCCGCCCTGCCCGCGACGTTCGCCTTCGCCTTTATTCTCTCCTGCCTCGACACGCATGGCACCCAGTGACGCCGGAGCGCGCCGCCGAGGAGAGCGGCGCCCCCATCCCTTGGCATCTCGGCCTCTTTCTCTCTCTCTCTCTCTCTGCACCCGATATCCACATCCACGCCGCTCTCCGTCGCGATCCGAGCGGCCCATCTCTTCCGCAGATCCAGCATATCATCCACTTCTGTACTCTTACACACGCATCGTCTCCCGTGGTCCTGAACCGTGCGCCGTTGGTCGAGCTTCGCCCTCGCCGCACCGGCCACTCGCCTGCGTGTGTGCTCGTTGTGCGTTCCAGAAGACGCCCTTGGCTGCTTCGACATGGTTGGATTACAGGCCGGCCGGGCTGGCGATGAAGGGCGCGGCGCGGCGCAGCGCGGCGCAGCGGCGAGGGCTGACGGCGGATCGAGGTGGGCACGACGTCGTCACCGGACGGGTCGATCGCACCTCGTCTCATCGTGTGTCTGACCGCAGGACCGACTGCAATACCTCTCTCCGCAGCGGGTGCAGGCGACGCTGCCCCAGTATCCGCAGATGGAGCAGAGCGGTCGGCTCGGGTATCTCGACGGTCTGGCGGCAGCAGAAAGGTAGTTTGGCCCCGACGACGACGCATCCCCGGCAGCGGTGGTGGCGGTGGCTTCTTCGAGCATGGCGTTGAAGCCCTTGCGCGTCGAGAGGATCCGCTTGACTTCGGCATTGATCCGTTTGCGCGAGGTCGCATCGACGCCTCCGCTCGGTGGCTTCGTGCCTACGGTTACGTCTGAGGTGGTCGCAATGGGGAGGGGTAGGTCGTCCGAGGGAAGGGAGAGAGCAGTGGGGGCATCGCGGTAGTTTGCCCTCTGACCCCGTCCCAACCAGCATTGCCCGAGAATGGCACGGTCAGCGTCACTCCACCCCTTTGCTCACCGCAGATGCTCATCAAAGGGGATGGACGACAGACTCACCTCGAGTTCATCCAACCTCCTCTTCTGCCTGCGCCGTCGTAGCTCCTGCTCCCTCTGCACCCGCTCTGCCTCTTCGTCCGGATCCAGCCGTGCATGTTGCTGCGCAGAGGTGATGGGCTGCGGGCGCGCTGAGCTGTGCGCCGGTCGAGAGGTGCCAAGCGAGCGCCTCTTGCGCAGTGCCTGGCTCATCGCATCGGTTCGTACGCTTTCGCCACGGAGGACGAATGGGTCGGCCGCGGAAAGGGGCCACGATGTTGCGGTCGAACCGGAGCGAGGGAGGCGAGGTGGTGATGGTGATGGTGGTGGGGGGAAGGGACAAGCAGGGGAGCGACGAAGAGCCAAGCGAGCGACGCCCCACTCCACTTGTCCGTCTTCCGCGATCTTTGCGGCGCAAGCCCGATTCAAACCTTCGATGGCCGATGCAATGGCAGGCGACACACACTTTTCCGTCGAGAAGACGAGGCGCTGCGAGATCGGGTCAGAAAAGGTTCAAAATTTCGATTCGCACAAAATCGGGACTACAAACGAGATGCAAGACGGCCTAGAGCTGGCCCGCGGACTTGAGGTCCTCGAAGGCCTCACGACAGCGCTTGGCCATCGTCTTTTCGCCCTCGCGGACCCAGACGCGCGGGTCGTAGAATTTCTTGTTGGGCTTGTCCGCGCCTGTGCGGAAAAAGGATCGAGGTAGACAAAAAGAAAAATATCAGTTCCAGTGAACATATGCAGCCAAGTCTCGGAGACGCGGCTAAACTCACCCTCAGGGTTTCCGACCTGGCTCATCAGATAATCCTTCTTGCTGAGGACGAAGTCCCTAACACCGGTGAGGTAGGCCCACTGTGGAGGTGGGGGGGCGAAAGGATCCGAAAAAGAAAAGTCAGCCTCGGACGCGTTTTTTTCTAAAAAAGCGCGCCAAACACGCGAAAAACGCACCTGGGTGTCCGTATCCACATTCATCTTAACTACGCCATGGGTGACGGCCGTAGCAATCTCGTGCTTCTCCGAGCCGGAACCGCCGTGGAAAACGAAGAACCTGCGGGCGCCAGACAAAGGGGGGAGGCACAGGGGGGTGGCCAACAAAATCGGGACCAAGGTCAGAAGCGTCCGGCGCGGCGGCGGGTCGACATCGGGCGGGCGGGACGGCGGGCACGGGCGAAACGGGGGCCACTCACACAGGGTTCTCCTTGTCCGACTTGATCTGCTCGCGGACGTGGACTTGGTGCTTGCCCAGGAGCTCGGGCTGGAGCGAGACGTTGCCGGGCTTGTAGACGCCCTGCTCGCGCGCGGGTAAGGGAAGGAGGGGAGGGTGTGTACGGGGTGGGTCAGCGTCGCTTCTCGATGGCAGCACGGAACGACGGCGGCGGCGGCGACGGCGGGCTCGCCGCGTCTCTCGTCCCGCCTCCTCGTCACGACGTGCGCTACCGCCAGGCCGCTTGCGACGCCACCGCACTCACGTGGACGTTGCCGAAGCCGGCGGCGATGGAAAAGTTGGGGGTGATCTCGGAGAACTCGCGGTAGATGTCCCAGATGTCCTCGGGCTGGGTGTAGAGGGCGGCGTTGTCGACGCCCTCGTTGTTGACGCCGTCCTCCTCGCCGCCGGTGATGCCAATCTCCATCTCGAGCCAGATGCCGAGCGGGGCCATGCGCTGAAGGTACTTCTTGCACGTGGCAATGTTCTCCTCCTTGGACTCCTCGGACAGGTCGAGCATGTGCGAGCTAAACAGGGGCTCGCCGTGCTGCTTGTGGTAGTCCTCGTCGGCCTTGAGCATGCCGTCGAACCAGGGGAGCAGCTTCTTGGCGCAGTGGTCCGAGTGCATGATGACGGGGACGCCGTAGGCGGGGGCAATCGAGCGGATGAAGAGGGCGGCGGCCGTGGAGCCGGCGATCGAGGCCTCCTGGTTGCCGTTCGACAGGCCCTTGCCGGCAAAGTTGGCGGCACCGCCCTGCGAAACCTGCAGGATCAGCGGCGACTTGGCATCGCGCGCGGCCTCGAGGGCCGAGATGGCGACCGACGAGCTCTGGAGGCGCGGGAAAGGGCGGGGTCAAAGGGCAGAAGCACGGTACGAGGTGCAAAGTTCAGCGTTCCGCAGCAGGGCAGAGCGGAGCCGCGCAGAGCATGGCAGAGCAGCGACTGGCACTCACGGTCACGTTGAACGCCGGGATGGCGAACTTGTGCTCGCGAGCGTAGTCAAAGACCTTGTAGACGTCCTTGCCGGAGACGACGCCGGCGGGAACAATGTCGAGGACACCCATCTGTGTTTGCGAGGCAGACGAGAGCGACCAGCGGCGTGAAGCGGCCAGGGGCAGACAGTCAGTCTTCGGGTCGAAGAGTTTACCCTGCAGCCATCGACGATGCCGTGGACGCCGTCGGGGCCCCCTATCGCGCAAAATGGCCATCATGAGATGTCGTACGACCGGAGTAGATTTGGCGCGGGGGACGGCGGCGGCGGTCCACCATCTACTCACGATGAAAGTTGTTCGGTGGGGATGAACAGTGAGTAGCGGGATACAACGGTGTGGGGATCTGACGGAGCAGAAGGAAGATGGTGGTGAGAAAGAGGGACGGTGCACGGGCGAATCGAGATGGATGTGTTTGCCTTTGCTTCCTGTGTGCCCTGTCCTGCCTGACCTGCCTGTCCGACCTGCCCGACCTGTCCTGCCTGCCCGCCGTGCCGTGCTGTACGACCACGTACGGGGGATGGCAGGCCGAGCAGCACGGGGCGCCGGCTCTTGGATGGAAGAGATCGCTCGTTTGCCCGCCGCCCGCCCGGCCCCACGTCGACTGGCTCGTGCAACCCCTCCGTGGGTCGTCATCGTTTGTATTGCTTCCTGCCCTCGACCCGTCCCCCAACCACTTGCCCTGTAATGCCCTTGCCCCCATGGCAATACAAACCGCCCTCCCCTTCGATCTCAACCTACAGCCTTCCCTCCTGGAAGCCAGCAGAAATTACTCCACTTGGCCGCCCCCCGCTCTGGCGCCCGCTTTCAGATCGTCGTCTCGTCGACGGAAGGATGTTTCCGCTTCCAGCCGTGTCGCTCCACTCTCCGTTCCGAGGGCGGCCCTTCGTCCGACATCGCCGTGGGCGCATCATGGAAAGGGGGCGAACGAAGAACGAGGCGACGGGCTGAAAGTCCAGCTTACCGTACCATCTCACGGCTTCGGAGCCGGAAGGGGAGGTCTTCTGCTCTTTCCCCTCTGGGGCAGAGTCTTCGACGTAACAATCAGCGACGAGATCGCTCAACACAACAGCCTGGAGGCCAGCCTTCTTGCCCCATCCCGCTGGCCTGCCGTCGTAGCTTCATCTTTCGCCGTCCTGTCGGTGCAACGTCGGTGACGGGCGACGCGTTCTGACATCTCTCCGTCCGTACGTGCGTCTGGTCTTGGTGGCCGGCCGCGCAGCGGCGCAGGGCAGTCGGGCAGGTGGGCCAGGGCGCTCGGCGAGATTATTTCGGCGGCAGGCGTGCAATCTGATCCTTGATCGATATGCCCAGCCCCAGGCCCAAGCAGCTCCCTCGGCGCAACTCGCGCCAACCTACGTACACACCAGCATGCACGCATCGTCCTTCCTCCAGCCTCCAGCCTGAGCTTGCTCTCTCGCCGATACAGGCCCGATCAAGTCGCCGCTTGCCACAGACCTGCTCGGGCGGGGCCGCAGGCGCGGCTCGTGCGCAGTCCAGAACAACACAACACGGGGCGACGAAGCGAGAGCCTCAAGCGGCGGGCTATCATGATGAAAAGTCGTTGCTCGTGTGGTGTCGTGTCGTATCAAACGGACGCCAGAGGTCTAAGTGTAGGTCTGCGGGACAGCATCGAGGCCGGCGTCGTGGCACGCCGGCACGCCGGCACGCCGGCACGCGGACAGGGCATGGCTTCCTGGCTCAGCGATCTAGAGGCCCTTTGCGTAGTTGCCCTGACTACGAAACAGGACAGATGGCAAGACAATCGCCCGTCTCAGCGGATCTGGCACGCAGCGGCGCGGGAGAGCGACGACCGAACGCCCGGCTCAGACTCACGTGTAAAAGTCCTGCATCGTCTGGACGATCTTCTCGAGGGCGGCAAGCCACCTCTTGAGCTCCTCGTCGACGCGCTCCGGGGGCGAGCCGAGCTTGGCGTAAAAGTCCTTGCGGTACGGGCAGGCCTTCATGGCAAGCTGTGGGCGGGACGGAGGCGGGAGAGCAACATGGCCAGCGGCGAGGGTCAGCATGGCCCTTTCGCTGCAGCGGTTCACGGCTCACGACGACGGCGAGGGCGACGGCGGCACTCACCGAAAAGACTGGACGGATGACGAAGCTGTGGTGTTGCCGCAGGCTGTTCTCGTAGGCCTTTGTGAAGCTGACGGTCAGCTCCTCGCTGGGGTCCGACACGGACCGGCGCAGCGCCTTGGCGGTAAAGTCGAGGCCTCGCAGCAGCCACATGAGGCCCTCAGTCGCGGTGCGCTTCTTGTCGCCGGGCTTGCCCTCGTTCTCAACCAGCGCCTGGAGCGTCGACGACGTCGCCGGCGCGGCCAGGAGGCGCTCGCGGATTTTCTGCAAGAGGCGAGGCGGGGCGGGGCGGGGCGAGGGTCGCCATAGAGGGAAAGCGGCAGAGGCCGTTGAGCATGTCGCAGCGGCGGTGTACGAGGTCCGACCCCTTCTGTGCGCGACCCCGGGACTCACCTTGATGTTGCCGTTCATGTCGTTCTGGACGACGGCAAAGGCCGAGTTGCCCAGCAGGTCAAAGAGCTTGACGAGCCCCTCGGTGGCCTCGAGGAAGCCCGACGTCTCGACGCCGCCCTCGGTGGGGACATCGGCGTACGACTGCAGGTGCAGGTCAGAGCAGAGGCAAGCGTAGCAGCCAGGCAGAGGGGTTCCAAGTCGTGTCAGCGATCCCGCCATGCACAGCCGACCGCCCATCGCGGCGCCGCAGCGCACTCACCTTCTTGACGGTGTCAAAGTAGGTGGCCATCGTTGCGAACGTGCGAGAAGCTGTGGGCGGCAAAGGAGGAGTTTGGATGGATCTGGAGTCGGCAGAGGGTGGTGTTGGCAGGCGGTGAAGGGCAAGAAACGAGCAAGGAGAGGTCGGAGTCGAGGAAGAAGAAGGCCAGAGCGCCGTCAGGTCGTGTGCCAGCGAGCCGCTCCCCGCCCAGAGGTGGCCCCTGCATCCCCGGGCCCACGCTGCTGGCGTTGCTTCCTGCCTGCGCCGCCAGGGCCTCTAGGCCAAGGGGGCGGCCACGCGCGTTCGGGCCACCCGCCTGCGTGCCTGCAGCACCAGCCCCCGCGGATACTGCAGCCGCTTGGGCGCGATCCGTCCGCCACCACAACTGCCACCACAACTGCCGCCACCTTCTCACCCGCCGCCAAGCACAGACTCTTCGGCTGCTACTGTGCCACTCCGCCGCGTCCAGTCCGCTTCGAATGCATGGGATAACTTATGTGAGATAGGCCGTGACGGGAGCGACAGGAGCCGACAAGAAGCTAGACGGGGAATATAGGGCTACGACAAGGTTGCGGAAAGCTGCGTGACGGATCGACGATACCGAGCACCGAGAAGCAGGTGGATGTCTGGCTCTGCCGTAACCTAAGGCTCGACAAGCCAGGGCTGCGCATGCCGAGCTCAGAGCTTCGAGGCGGCGGTACGGACGACCTTGGCCTTGATGAGACCGCTGAGAGCGAGAGGGCGGGCGAGCGGGCAAGGACAGAGACAGGCCGAGGCGGTTAGCACGCTAGTCTCAGCTCATGTCGTTGGCTCCGGAAGCGGCGCAGTGCAGCGTCAGAGCGGGAGGCCACGTCATACTCACCTCGGATGTTGCGAAGGCAGGAAGACTTCGGCGTCCTTCTCGTCGAGGTTGCTGAGGCCCTTGAAGCCGAGGTCGATGGGGATGTAGTGCTTGTTGGGCAGCGCGTAGGCGACGTCGGTAATGGCGCCGTTGCCCGCGTCGTTGAGGATGGCCTCCGACATGCGGTACATGGTCGCCTGGACGCTGGCCGAGTTGTCGAGCGCAAAGATGCGGATCGTGTGCGCCTTGACCGACGCCGCGAGGTCGCAAAAGGCGGGCAGCTCCGACTTGGCCGCGAGGATGGCGGGAAGGGGCTTGTTGGGGAGCGCGATCGAGTCTGCCGGCGGTCGACGAGGGAGGCGAGGTCAGAGATGGCACTTCGTCACGCGCATCAGCGGGGCCACGACCGGTCCTCTACCCACAGATGGCCTCGACCTCGGTGCTAAAGATGCGGTCGTTGACCTCCTTGAGCGTCGTGTACTGGTCCCGGTGGAAGCCGTAAAAGGCACTGCCGCTGCTCTTGAGCACGAGGAGGCCCTTGAGGCCGCCGGCGAGCTCAGTGACGCGGGCCTCGCCGCCTACGCGCCTGGCGACGGCGCGGACAGTCCTCTTCTCGTCGCCGTCGCGGACAAAGCTGTGCTTGTGTGCGCCGCCGTCCTTGGCGTCGAGCACGATGCGCGTCCACTTGTGCTGGATCAGGTCGACCTCGACGCCCTCGATGTGGGCGTAGGTCGAGAGGAAGTGGTTGGCCACGTTGAGGGCGTACCTCTCCGGGCAGAGGACGTCGTCGGCCGGCAGCACCTTGGCCAGGTAGTTGAGCGTGTTTTTGACCGTATCGGTGGCGACGACGGGCGAGTTGTCGGCCTGGGTATAGGACGGGGTGAGGGATGCGCCCGAGAGGAGGCAGCGCGCCGTGTACTCGACGATGCGGTGCGAAGAGCGGTCGCTGGCGTCGCGGACGACGCGGAGGATGCGGACGAGGTCCTTGCCGTACGAGGCCTCGGCCAGGCGGACGTTGGACGAGGAGGCGACCTTGCTGGACATGGCGATGGCGCAGACCTTGGGCGAGGGCGGGTTTCGGCGACGGAGAGGGGGCGAGGGCGGAGAGGGCGGCGGGGGCGGCAAGGGCGGTGGCGAACGAGGATCGGTGAGGAGCGGAAGGAGGTGCAAGGTTGGCTCTGGCTTTTATCCCAGCCCTCGTCTTGGCCTTGTACGGCTGGTGCAAGCAAGCAAGCAAGCAAGCAAGCAAGCAAGGCGGTCGGTGCCTCAGCCGAAAGCGCAGGCAGGCAGGCTGAAACTCTGACCTTGGCTGGTCGCAACCTGGCGGGCGGGCGAGGTGGCAGGGACACCGTCCTGGCCTGGCCTCTTCGCGTGGGTGGGTGCACCCTGGCCTGGCCTCGCCTGGCCACTTTTCTCGGACTTGGCCGAGGCCTGGAAAATCCGCAACCTGCGCCGGCCTGTCGCGGGCGTGAAACCATCGCGGGCGGTCACAGCGTCGTCTGCCCCTCTTCTGGCCGTCCCTTCTTGTGGCCACGCTCGCTAGACACCATGTCGGCCATGGCCCGCTTCCTCAATCCTGCCTGGCTAGTCAAGGCCCGGCCAGGGTGCTCGTACTGGCTAGCCCCGGGGCGACTACGACGAGCGCAGCATGATCGCTCCAGCCGGACGGTGCAGGCTGCACTTGCCAGACTCGCTCAACACGTCGTCCCAGCTCCCCTCGTCGAGACGGAAACTCGGCCGGAGAGGCTCGGTGCAGCTTGGCTCTCAAAACGCGGACCGGCTGAAAGACACGCACAGACGACCGATCAACTCGAAAAGACTGGTAGGTTAGTCGCTCGAGCGACGCACGGCCTGCCGAGGAAGCAGGCTGGGGGGATATACAGGGTGAGCCGGAGACAGGGACAGGACAAACGAGAGGGAGGCCAGAGGAGGTGCGACCGGGGGATGCGCGAGTTCGGAGGACGGTTCGACAAACGAGAGCCGGAGGGAAGCCAACAAAGGGTGCGAGGATGAGAAACGAAAGTCCGAGATGTAGAGCCAGGTGATTGCTGCCGGTCCGCGGCGAGTCCTCGCGGCCAGGATGCTGGAGAGGGACACGAGATTGAGACAAGGGGAGAGCTGTAGATGCAAGTCGATGACGAGGGGGGCACGAGGAGGCTGGAATGGGGTGCGGCCTTGAGGGCAGGGGGCGGAGCAGATAGCAGTGCGACGTCACGGCACGCCACGGCCGCTACTCGTTGCCGAAGCCCATGCCCTCCTCGATGGCGAGCGCCAGCTTGCTCTCGAGCGTCTCAAACGACGGGTAGGGCGGAAGGTCGATGCGGTTGAAGCACGTGTGCGACTTGGGCAGCTGGTTGACCTCGCCCGACTTTTCGATGGTGAAGCGGCGCGGGCCGTCGGAGCCCTGCAGGTCCTTGAAGCCGTTGACGGGGATGCGCGAGGTGCCCGTGGCAAACTGGAGCAGGCGCGACTTGCGCTCGGCGGGCCACGCCTTGACGCACTGCCAGAACCACTGGACCACCTGGTCCTGCTCGGTGAAGCCGCGGTAGTCGGTGAAGCGCTTCCAGTCGTCGACGTCGATCTCGGACATGCCTCCGATGAGGAGCTCGAGCTCGCGCTCGTCAAAGACGTTGATGAGGTCCTGCGGGATGAGTTCGGTGAAGCCGCTGATGAAGGCCTTGAACTGCTCCTCGACGCGGCGGCTGATGCGCCACTCGGTCATGAGCTCGACGTACTCCTTCTTGTTTTCGTCGGTCACCTCAATCTCCTCGCCGCCGGGCCTGAGCTCGACGGTGACCATCTCGCCAAACTTGTCCTCGACGGCGGTGAACGTCTCCTCGACGACGCCCTCGATGCTGTTGTCGAGCATCCACTGGAGCGAGCGGTGGTAGTCGGCGTCGACGCTCTCGAGGTCGCTCAGCGTGATCTTCTTCTTGAGGATCATCTTGTAGAACGACACGATGAAGTAGGCGTCGAGGAAGCGGCGGTGGAAGATGGCGAGGCCGAGGACGCGGCCGATAAACTTGAAGTAGTTGAGGTGCTCCGGGTTGATGCCCGAGTGCGGGTTGATCTGGAGCGTGTAGTTGTCGTGGGCGCTGTACTCGAAGAGGCAGTAGAACGGATTGAACATCTCGTGGGAGAGGAGGAAGAAGAACTCTCGCGACAGTCCGCCGTAGTCGAGGCCGTCCTCGCCGTCAAACTTGATCATCAGCCGCTTCTTGAGGTCGTTGGGCTGCTGGCGCATGATCTCGGCGTACGAGTCCTCAAAGATGTGCGTTCGGCGCACCTTGATGTGGCACTGGCCCGGGATCGGCCGCAGCGCCGGCTGGCTCCGGAAGTAGATGAGCTTGCGGCGGAAGTCGCGCTTGTACTGCGGCACGTTCTGGTCCAGGCTGCTCGGCAGGCGCGGGTCGTCCCACGTCGTCGTCTTGGTATTGTGGTCGACAAAGTAGACGCGCGCCGTCGACGTCAGACGCATCTCCCAGCCGCTCGGCAGCGGGCCGAGCTGGGCCACGCTCTGCGGCTGCACCGTCAGGTTGTTGCCGTTGGGGCCCATGATGCGCAGGATCTGCTGGCGCCGCGGGTCGACCCACGTCGTGGTCCGCGTGTTGTGGTCGACAAAGTAGGCGCGGCCCTCGGGCGTGTTGCGCTGCTCCCAGCCGGCAGGAAGCGGTCCGCTCCCGGCCGTCGTCGCGCTGCTCGTGGCGGGCAGCGCCGCACCGCCCGAGGCCGCCGCTCCAGCTGCGCCCGGCGTCGTGATGGCCGAGCCCGTGCCGCTGGCCAAGCCGGAGCGCGGGCCGTCGTTGTCGTTGACGCCGAGGAAGTCGTCGGCGAGCGCACGGTTGCTGTGGCGCTGCCGGTCCGCCGCTGCACTGCTGGCCTGGGCGGCCACATTGGCGTTGGTGTTGGTCGAGGGGCGGGTCCACGTCGTGGAGCGTGTGTTGTGGTCGACGTAGTAGGTCCTACCCAGGTGGTCGGTGCGCCTCTCCCAGCCGCTCGGGAGGGGGCCGTACTCGTCGGAGCGCGAGTCGTTGGCGCCCGAGCGCGGTGTCGGCTGGGCAGCCGGGGCCGCCGCCGATCCGGCCGCAGCGCCTGCCGCGGCGGACCCTGCCGATGGGCCCGTTCCCGAGGCGGTGCGCGAGGCGGAGAGGGACGCTGCAGGCGGTGCACTCGCCCCGCTGCTGGCGGCAGAGGCGGCGCCGGGGGTGTCGACGGTCGACGTTGGCCGGCTGCCCGACTCCCCGTCGCCCGGCCGGGAGGAGGCAGCTGCGGACGAGGGGGCGGCGCTGCCCGAGGTCGAGGGCCGCGTGTCGATGCGGGAGCCGGAAGGATTGCTGCTGGGCGCGAGCGACGTCGACGAGGCGTTGACGTTGGCGGCGCTCAGCAGGCCATTGGACGGGCCGGCGCTCGAGTTGTTGTTGTTGATGGGCGTCGAGACGTTGGTGTTGAGGTCGATGATGAGCTTGCCGTGGACGACGAGGTTGTCGTTGGACTTCTTGAGCTCCTTGTTGAGCAGCTTCTTGCCGCCCAGCTCGAGGTCGAGGACGTCAGAGACGCGGATGTTGATGACGCCGAGGAAGCCCTGGTCGCGCTTCTTGAACTTTTTCTGGTCAAAGATCTGGACGGCGACGACCGACGAGTCGGTGACGTTGATGTCGAAGCTGTCGTTCCAGTAGGGGTTGAGCGTCTTTTTGATGACCGACGTGGTGTGGGTCTGCTCGCCGTCGACAGTGACAATGGCGAACGGGTCGGGCAGCCGGAAGACGTCGCGCTTGGCCAGCCCGTCGGCGGCCACGACCGTGATGCGCACGGTGCGCGAGAGGCCACCGGGGTTGCGCGAGTTGACCATGTCGGAGGGTCGTTATAGGAGCAGACGGGTAGTAGCGGGGCAAGGGGTGGAACACTCGATATGCGCGGCCCTGAAGGCGAGCGGGCTAGCAGTCGAAGTCGAGCTGGCTGCGGCCCGGGTGCGAAGACGTTGGCGGGTGTTGGACGTGACGAGGCGGCGGTCCAGGGGGCTGGTCTGGGGTATACGGCGGCGCTCAGCTCCAGCTGCCAGCGATGGCGACAAGCGTGGCTGCTCTGGTTGGTGCGTGCCGGGCTGTTCAGAGACTGTCGTGTCGCGCGTAGGCTGGACGGCAGAGGGTCGAATCAAACAGGTGTTGGGCTTCGGTCGTGAGCACTTCGATGATCGGAACAAGTCGAGGATCGAGCGAGCGGCGGGGCGAGTCGAGTCGGAGTGGGCAGGACAGGGGTTGAGGTGGGACAAGGGAGTGGTGCGACGGAGCGCGCGGTGGTCGTGGGCAGGGCGATGGTGGTCGTGTGGCAGGGATGACCGGCGGACGGTGGAGTCGAGAGAGAGGAGCAGCAGCAGCAGAGTGAGGCCGTCGTCGGCCGGCTGCCCGACCCACCAACGGAGGCGGCGGCGGCGGCGGGCGGCGCTGACAGAGAGAGAGAGCGAGCGAGCGAGCGGGCGGACGGGCGGGCGAGCCAGGCCAGGTGGCACACGCACACAGCCTCGCCCGCCTAGGCAATTGCCTGGCCGGGCCTTGCTCCGCTGTTGCTGCTGGTGCTGCTGCTGCTCCCTGCTCGAGGGGCCCAGCCGCATCCCCCCTCTTGGAATTCAATTGTCGTGCCGGCACGCCGCCGTCGCCTTTGAAATTCTAAATGGGCGGGGGGAAATGGCCGAGGCGGGCGGGCGGGTGAGCACACCTCGAATACAAAAAATTCAGTCATCATCATCGCTGGCTGTCGAAAACCCATTTCGGCGGCCGGGGTGGGGCAGTTGGGCGCCCAAAATGGCTGGCCGCGGCCAACCCACCGCCCCTTTTTCCTCGCTCGCGGTCCCTGCGGAAAATTCGAGGGTCAGGGTCGACCCTCGGCATCGCCCGGCCTGGCGGGCTGGCGGGGCAGATCGAGTTTGCCGACCGAGGCCGAGCAACACCCCGCCCGCCCACCTCCTCTCCACCTCGACTTGGGCGCCGCTCGCTCGCTCGCTCGCTGCTCCTCGCATCGTTGCGCGCCGCAATCTGAGGATCCCATCGCTTCAGGTCGCCAGAGAGAAAGGTGCGGCAACTACATTAGGGTCGACCGATCAAATCCGGACTTGGAGCCTCACACATCCCCAGGTCTTTGCGGCTTGCCAGCCTTGCAGCTCGTCCTGCTGCCTGCTCAGCCGCTGATCGAGACCGTCCGCGACGGCAGCTGCTTGCTGCCTGTCGCTCGCCAGAGTCCGGCCAAAGGGGCTTCGAGGCCAGCTCAAGGAGGAGACTGCTGGCTCGCAGGCGCCGGCACGAATCCATCGCTGCTCGGAGTCGCCTGAGCAGACCTGGCATCGCGCTCCCGCTGACGCCAGTACTGGACGTCGAGGTCGTCCGGTCGTCGCTCGAGGTCGTTCGACTTCTTCGGCTTCCAGCGGTAGTGAAGATACTCGGCGAGGATGAGCCCAGCGGGCAGGACGATTGGACCGGTGATCATGAGCGCGATGGCGCTGTAGAAGACGATTTCGAACAGCTTGCGTTCCACCTTCCTCCAGGCCGTCTCGGTCGAAGCCTTGACCAGCGCATTGGACTCAGCGCGCTCGGTGGCAGGAGAGGCGACGTCCTTGACCGGAGGCTGCGGATCATCCGACTTCGGGAAGCCCGGCTCGAGCAGCAGCTGCTCTTCCTCGTGGGAGAGGGACACGGGCTTCAAGGGGTGCTCCACGTGGTCGGGAGGGACGTTGCGCCACGAGCCGGTCAGACTGTTTGGGGGATGGGCGAATGCTTTGAAGGCCTTTGCCTCGTCTGCGACGCTCTGGACCCCATTCCTGGGCTGCCCGCCGCGCTCGAGAGCCCCGGGGACGCTGGCTTTGCCCTTGACGCCTTCCACGGCGCTCTTCGCCCCATCCGCGATGCTTGCTGATGGTGTTGGAGGATGGCAAAGTCCCAGTTCAGCTTGGTCAGGGTCCCAACGTGCGCCCCATTGAGCGGCCCAGAAGCTCACCTTCGCCCTCACTGGCTCCCGGCCCGAGCTTTCGGACGACCTGAGCGACTCCGTGACTCGCCTCTTGGACAAGCTCGCCGGCTCCCTGAACCGCCTTTTCGCCAGCCTCTTCCAGACCTCGATCGACCACTCGTAGCTGAGATTCGGCCGAGCGCCTAAGTCGCTGAACGTGGAAAGGGTGCATGCCGCCCTGCTCGACCCGCGACACGGCCGCCACCAGCTCGAGGGTGCCAAAGACGGCAAGGACCAGGCGCAGCGACTTCATGACGACGTCCGTGGCGAGCGTGCTGCGGTGACGGCGGGGGAGATCGAGTGATCACGAAAAGGTAGGGCGTACCTTGGAACAGATGCTGGGACTGGCAGCGGAGGGAGTGGAAGGTAGCGCTTCTCGTTTCGTGCACAGGGGAGGGGATGCGGAATCTGGGATGGGAAGGATGAGGCGACCCCATTCTCCAGCTGCCTCACCACCTTTTATCCTTCGAGACTCTCTCCTGCGAAGCGCTTCCTCTTCCGAGCACCTCGACGCACTTGCATCGCTCCACGTGCCCGCACCGCTCGCGCCCCGCTCGTCGGTAGGCAGATGAATGTCGACCGCAGCCTTGCCCTAGCTCAGCCCCTCGACGAGGTTGCAAAGCACCATGGTGGGTCGAGCTGCTGGTACTGGACATCAGCCTAGAGAATCCCGACCTATGCAGATGTGAGGAGCAAAGCTGCTGGAGTCCACGACGAGTCGGCGTGAAGAGGCGACAATTTGATCAGAGGAAGAGGTGGGGAGCGAGAGCGAAAATGAAACGCCTCGGGGCGGACGTGGAAGAACGACGAGGCGAACGTGGTGGGACAAAAGGCCGGGAGCTGGAGTGGCAGCCAACATGCACGAACCTCTTCTCTGCCTCAACGATCGGCGCTCCGGGGGGAAGGCGGATGAAGGGCGGCGACCGGGGACAGCTTCCTAGGCGACGCGCTGGAGCTTTGCGATGATCTTGATGAGCTTGCGCCTGTGCTTGCTCTTGACCTTTCCGGCGATCTTGGTGAGCTTGCGGCAAGCCTCGTCGACGGCGGCCAAGACCGAGTCGCGCGCCTTGGCCTTGTGCGGCTTAGCGCGGGCGACGGCGGCCGCGGGCGTCACGCTCTGCGAGGACTGACCGCGAACCGGACGGCTCTGGCCCGTAGCGCTGCCTCCCGACGCCTTCGGCTTGGCCTTGTCCGTGCTCTTGGCCCTCTTCGCTGGCTTCACGGCTGCACTGGCCGACCTCTGGGAACCGGACGCCGCCGACGGGCTCGAGTTTCTGGCGGTCCCGGCGAAGGTCGAGCACGCCCTCCTGACCGCCTTGCAAAAGTCGCAAGGAGACGTGCCAGGGCGTCGCGCGTGGCCGTTCTTGCCCTTTCCAGTCCCAAACGTGCAGTGCTTGGCCGCGGCGACGCAGGTACCGCACCGATCGTTGCTTTGCACGAATCCCTCTTCCAGCCTCTGCGTGATGCCGGGAAAGTCACCTCGTTTGAGCCGATCGTTGGCTCGACCCGGGGGAAGAGGGTGGCCGGAGGTCGCAGGCTTAGGTGCGGCCGGAGGCATTGTCGATGCTCTGAAGGGCAGTCCGCCTCGACTTGGACAGGCTTGTCTGCGATCTTGCGCGTCGTCTCGTGGGCCAAGGCTGCTGAGGCAGGCCGGCCGGTCTGCGGACCTGGTTGGCAAAGCTCGCCTGGGACACGCCTCTTGGCCAGGGACCCTGCGGTTTGACTGCGAGGATCCTGCTCTTAGGGGCTTGAGTATGTCGCGTCTGGGGAGTGGTCGCGCTGTATGCGGCGAGGGTAAAGCCGGCAGTGCGGCCGATGGCGAGGACAGGGTAGGTTATGGCACAGACGCGGGACGGGGCGGGAAGAGGGGAGCGGGGGCGTCCATGTGGCTGGCACGCTTTGAGGTGGTGGTCAGCTGGCAAGCGGCGCTGGAATCGAAGAGAGATGGGAGGAGCAGGCAGCAAGTCCTTGGCCTGCTTCAGCAGCGCAACCGCGGTGCCTCGCGCGGCTCGGCCAAGGTTCAGCGCCGCTCGGAAGCGGAGGCATCTGCGGGCCCGGCGGTCGCAAGGGTCGGGCGCACCTCTGCGCGGCGTGCGTAGCGGGAACTCGATGGCGGATGCATGGATCTTGAGCGCTCTGAGCCGGTGCATGACACGGTGGGAGTGTCCCGCCTTGATCTCAGCGTTGCCTTGGTCGAGGATAGGGATCAAAGGTGGCGAGAGAGGTCGCCTTGACGATGCGATGCGCTGGGCCAGTCGCACTCGGCCGATAGCGCGGGCAGGCCGGAGCCAGGTCCAGGGCCAGGGCCAGGTCGGGATTTTTTCCGAGAAAGCCCAACCAAGGGGCAGCTCGGGAGCAGCCAGCAGGGGGATGGTCAGCCCGCCAGGCGAGAAGAAGCAAGCAAGCAAGCTGGCCGAGCCTGGCAACGCTTCGCTCCTGCAACGACGCCGCCATCATCTCAGCTCCTCCTTCGTCGCCACCTCCGACCGCCAACGGCCTCTCTTCTTCTCATTCACATCGCGACTTCGCTGTACCGCGCGCAGGGCCTCAACGACATCGGCCTTGACGTCTCTGCTTCCGCCATACCCTCCAACGTCCTCGGCCTCCTCCACCCCCGCACCTGACCCATCACCTTCGCCACCGCATCTCCACCCATGTCGTCCGCGGTTGCCCAGCGCCAGCGTGCGCTTGCCCTCTACAAGAGGCTCGTGCGCACTTCGCAGAAGACGTTCGAGGGAGACCAGCGCGCCATTGCCGCGTTTGGCCAAGAGATCCGATCCAGGTACCGCCAGATGGCCAACGAGACCGACCCGGCAAAGGTCGAGGAGGCGCTCAGCATGGGCGAGGAGGTCATCAGCGTCCTTCGCCGCAACGTCGTCCAGGGCAAACTCAACGAGGACTCGACCGCCTGGAGTGAGTGTCGGCGGCCGCCCGTCGCTCGCCGCCTTCTCGTTGCCGTCACGCCCCTGCCCTGACTGCTGACCGTTTCGCTCCCCCCCTCGACCCTCTGACTCTGCAGACCTGCGTATGACCAAGGAAACCGAGCTCGGAAATAACGACAGCATCAAGAAGGCGCGGGAGCAGCAGATCGCCGACCTCAAGGCGGGCAAGGCACCGTCAAGGAGGAGCTGCCGCGAAATGGCCGCCGAGATCAACTCGACCACCATCTTCGGCTCTTCGTCGTCGTCGTCGTCGTCCTCGAGCAGCCCTGCTGCTAGCGGATCAGCGCGTCCATTCTCGACCGTCGCCTTTGCCAAGCGCAACACCACAACCAGCCCTATCCTGCGAGCAGCCTTCTCGACCACCTCGGCGACCCATCTGCGGGACCCGACCGCCGTGGCCGCCACGCCGCTGCCACGACCGGCGCCCAAGTTCTCCTCGGTCACGATCCTCGCCGACGGCTCGTCGATCGAGCTGCATACGACCTCGCCGCGCCGGCTGACGCGCCTGACGCGAGACCAGACGAATCACCCGCTGTGGAACCCGAGCCAGGAGCGCCGGGTGGGCGGCGATGGCGGCGACGACAGCGGCAGGCTGGGCAGGTTCCGCAGGAGGTTCGGAGACAACGAGGCGGCTGGCCCGGCGTCGTCGGCGTCGGCAAAGGAGCGCAAGGAGGCCGCCGCTGCTGCCGCGGCCCAGAGAGGCGAAGTCTCGTTCGGGCAGGACGACCTCGACTGGATGAGCGTCGGCGGTCGCGAGGCACGCGCCGGCTCGCCCATCCAGTCCAAGAAGGCGGCCAAGGGCAAGGGCAAGAAGTGAGCCTGCCGCGCAGGGGTCTCCGCTGTCGTTCGGGACTCCTTCCTCTCTCGCTGTATCGTATCTCTGTGCCCGCTATCCAGCGCTTGCGCCAAGACCTCGTCTACATCGTATCGATGTTTGTGCATCGTTCCGTGTGTCAAGGAGCCGACAGGCCGCGTGAAGGTTCGTTGGTTGAGGGAGCCGTCGATCGTGCGACGCCGAAGCACGGTGCACCTGAAGCTGTCGCCGGCCCGAGCCTGGACACCGTGCACCCCGAAAGCAGCACAGGCGGGTGCCCCGTAGCTCTGACATGCCCAGTACCGCACCATCCACCACAGCTCGTAACAGCACACGCAGAGACGATCGGTCCGGATCCAAAATCACCCTCGTTTGATTTGCAGAGAAAGAGTGTGTCGGAGCAGGAGGGTGGGGGACCAGGAACCCGTACCCCGTTTTCGGACCATTCTTTGCTGCTTGTGCAGAACGCGCCTCTACTCCTGGCTGGAGGCGGCGGCAGCGGCGTCCGAGATCCTCTGGCGGTTCTGGAGGATCTGCTCCTTTTTCTTTGCGATGAGCTCCTCTTGTCGTCCCTCGAGGCCGTGGAAGTAGTATCCCAGTCCTCCAAACGCCGTCATGACCATGGCGTGGCCTCCGAGGTCTATCACGCACAGTCAGACGAGCGCAGAGGATGAAGGAAGGAGACCGCCGTGTCAGAGTCGATGCTGCTCCAGGTGAGGATCGAGGAGGGATCGGAATGGATCCAGGCGGCTGACACGTTGCTCGCAGCGCCATCGGTCGACACCACCGGGGAGCGACGCAAGTGAGGATGCCCAGAGAGCGGTGGACGGACGGACGGACTCACTGTCAAAGATGTTCCTCTTCTGCAATCCGAGTGCGTAGCAGCGGGTAAGGAAGCCGAGTCCGGCGTATCCAAGGACGCTTCCGACCACCATGGTTGAGTCTCTTCGGGTTTCCTAGCTTGTCCGTTCGACGGTGATGCCCTTTTCAGCAGCGAATGCGAGAGGGAGGTATGCGTGTGTGCGCGTTTGCGTGCGTGCGTCGGCCTCGAGGTGCGGGCGGGTAGGAGGTGCGGGTAGGAAGAGGTGCAAGCGGGTGGGTGTGCGAGTGTGGTGAAAGTGTGGAGTGAGACGGTGAAGGTGCTCAGAGGGCCCGCGACAGAGCGCCGCGAGCCGTCCCGCGGCGCCGCCCTCCGACTTCTGAGCAGCACCCGCTTTTCTCGCACGGAATAAATCCCGCCCCCCGGACCATCGCAGTTCTTCTGCGCTGAGCTTCGTCGAGACGGCGCAAACCACACAGCGACAGCCGGGCGATGGTGAACAAGATATGCGAATGGTGACTAGGATGCAAAATGGAAGGACAAGACTGCGACACCGACAGCGACTACGGCGCGGCGGCGGAAGCAGCGCAAGGCTGCCCCTCGTCCTCTGGCGGAAATTTCCAGACGACGACGCCGACCGTCTTGCCCATGAAGCGCCACCGCTTCTCGACTCGGTCGGTGCGGATATTGGGAGTCAGGCACGTCCGCTCCATCTTGCCTGCCTTCTCCACGCTGCGCCGGGACGGCCCGCGCGCCGGTGGCGAGGGCGGTGCGGCGGCGTGGGTACCGGACGAGGCCGAGGACGATGGTACCTCCTGATCGGCGGAGGAAACGACGGCGGCAGCGCCCTGGCCGGCCTCGTCGACGTTGCGATGGAAGAGGATCTCCTCCCCGCGCGACATGGCTGCGACCCTGCGGCCCAGCTCGACGACGAGGCGGGCGACGTTGCGGGTGTCATCGAGGCCGCAGTGCTCGCGACCCTCAAAGGCTCCCAGGCCGAGCAGCTCGAGCAAGCCCTTGAGCGAGAGGTCCTGCTTGGTCAGGCCTCCGGCGGTGAGAGCGGGCGCAGCGGCGGGCCGCACGTGGGTCGAGGGCGCAGCGACCACCTGGAAGCCGTCGTCGCCGCCAAACTCGACCTTGGTCGGAGCAGCGTCGTTGTGGCCCGCCTTCTTGGTGGCCCTGGCGGCCTTGGTCAGGTACTCGACCTCCCAGTCAAACAGGGTCGAGATGCCCTTGCGGACGTCGACCAGCGGCCCGCGCATAAAGAGCGGGGGCGCGCCAAAGTGGACGCGGTCGTTGCGGCCCGAGATCCAGCACTGCTTGATGACAAAGTCGCGGAGATCGTGCGGACCGTGGGTGACCCAGGCCACGCCGGGACGGAGGCGCTGGTCGAGCAGCTGCGACAGCCCAGGCTGGACCTGCGACTTGAGCTTGAGCAGGCCGTGCTTCTGCAGAAAGTCGTAGAAGCGGACCAGGACCTCGGTCCACGTCGGGGCCTGGTCGACCTGGTCCTGCGTGATGCCCGTGAGGTCCTTGCAGAACTGGCTAAGCTTCGGCCGCCAGACGGGGCGAACATACGACTGAAACGTGTCTTTTGTCTCGAGCGCGGTGCGATCCTCGTTCCACTGCAGCAGCACCACGGGAAACTCGATGACTGACGGCGGTCGCAAGTTGAAGGGAGGGAGGCAGCGGCGAGGATCAGCAGGGAGCTTGGCGCAAGGAGCGCACATCAGTAGCGCGCAAGCGCCTCTCGACGCTCACTTTCGTTGGGGTAGTCGTAATTGGTGATCTTGGCCGAGTAGTAGGCGCCGGGGGAGCCGACCGGGGGGCCGCGGTCGTCGTAGCCGTACCGACGGGTCACCTCGCAGGTGGCCTCGACGTCGAGGACGAGGAACGAGTCGTGCTCTGGCGTCCAGCGCGGTGCACGATCGGCGTGGGGTTCGGCGCGGTCATGTTGGGGCGAGGCAGAGGCGCGAGCCTTGCGCAGGCGCTGCCTCAGCTGGGGCTTGACGCCCTTGCTGTCGAGGCCGAGCTTGGTGAGCTCTTCGCGGAGCTCATGGACCGTCAGGGCGGCTGCAGTCATGTGACGCGGCGGCGGCGGCGGCGACGGCGACGGCGGCGACGGCGGCGGGGGTGGTGGTGATAGCGGCGGGCGCAGGGATCGTCGAGGAGGATGGGGCTGGGGTTACGTGGTCGAAAGCGGGTCGGGCGAGCCAGCATCACCTTGACTGTCTCGAACACGACCGGGATGGTGGTGGGAGCAACCCGTCCGACCGGATCTGCGGTCGGCACGAACCTCGACGGCGGGAACGAGGAGGGCAAGGTGGACGAAGGAGGTAGCAGGGCGGGCTGCGAGCGCCTTTGGGTGATCCACTAGTCGGGCTCGGAGGCGGACTCGGAGGCGGTGCGATGTGTGGGCTCGGGTCGTGTTGAACAGGCAGATGCTGTGCGAGCTTGGCGGTGATAGAAGTGCGATATCGGAGAGCGACGGTGGCTCTGTCGATGTTGGAGCCGGCGCAGCTCGAGACGCGGATGGTGCGCGGCGAGGCGAGGACGAGGCCGGATGGGGATGAGCCAGCCAGGGTCGGGGCGGATGAGGAGGAGGAGATGGCCACACCAACGACGAGCAGCCAAAGCACGGCATCCGGGACGTCGACAAGAGAGTCTACAGTGGCAGCACGTCTGCAGCACGTCTTTTGCCTGCCTGCAGCCGGGGTGCAGCCAGCAGAAGAGAGTGCAAAAACCGAGGCGCCAGAGTCGGCATTTTCGTGGCGAATTTTGTCCCGACTTTTGGGCTGCGCTGGGCCGACCCGGTGGGCTGCCTGGCTTCCTGGCTGTGCTGCGCTGCGCCGCCTGCTTGGCACCTTTTCTCCCGGGCGGGCGGCCGGTGGTTCGGTGGAGGCTGGCGCACAAAGTCGAAACGCGACCTCAGCTGGCCGCGTTTCCTTAGCACCGCACCCCACCTACAACCACCATCACCATCATCCGCACCGACAACACACGCCACCACCACCCGCACCGACAACGCACGCCACCACCACCCGCACCGACAACGCACGCCACCACCACCACCGCCTCACACCTCACCACCGCCAATCACGTCTAGCAAAGCCTCGCTCACCGGCTGTTCCTTCGAGCATCGCACCAGCCCGCCTCACCCATAGCCACCAGTCGTCATGGTAGGTACACAGGCGGCGTCCGCTCCGGCGCTCCATCGCACTCGAGCGATCCAGCACGCTGACCATCCATTCGCCTCCTGCCGCGCCCTGCTCTTCCAGTCGGCACCAGAATCCGAAGTCGAGGAGACGCCAATCCTCTGCGAGACCTGCCTCGGGCCTAACCCGTATGTCAGGATGGCCAAGCAGCCCCGTGGCATGGCCTGCAAGGTGAGTATTCCGCCGGCCGAGCCATTCAAAGCACAGGCTTACCATTGGAGCGCCAGCTGACACCTTGACCATGACCCACCTCGGCCTGCTTCGACGCCCAGGTCTGCTCGAGACCCTTCACCGTCTTCCGCTGGAACCCGGGCGTGGGCATGCGCTTCAAAAAGACCGAGATCTGCACCACCTGCGCAAAGATCAAGAACGTCTGCCAGACGTGCATCCTCGACCTCCAGTACGGCCTGCCCGTCCAGGTGCGCGACACGGCCCTCAACCTCAAGCAGAGCATGCCCAACGCCGACGCCAACCGACACCACTATATCCAGGCCATGGAGTCGCAGCTCGAGGGCGCCACGTCGCTCATCGACTCGTCGGCCGGTCCCTCGAGCCGCGCGGGCCAGGAGCTGCTCAAAAAGATGGCGCGCAGGGATCCGGGCTACAAGCGCAACCGCCCGCACCTCTGCTCCTTCTACGCCAAGGGCAACTGCACCCGCGGCGACGAGTGCCCCTACCGCCACGAGCTGCCCGTCGACAACGAGCTGAGCAAGCAGAACCTCCAGGACCGCTTCCACGGCACAAACGACCCCGTGGCGAGAAAGATGCTGGGCGCGCATGCAAAGGAGCAGGGTCTGGCCCCGCCAGAGGACAAGAGCGTGGTGAGTACACGGACCGGCTGCCTGCCTCTGGTCCGAGACGATGCGCCAAAGTGCCTGTTTGCTGACGGGTCGATCTTTGAACACCACGCGCGCACGCTGCAGATGTCGCTCTTCCTTTCGGCGCTCTCGCCCACGACGACCGAGGACGAGATCCGCACATTCTTCATCAACTCTGTACCGCAGCTGCAGCCGCACCACATCAAGTCGATCACGCTCGTGGCGGCGTCCAAGTGCGCCTTTGTCAACTTCAAGACGAGACAGGCGGCCGAATGGGCGGCAGAACGGTGCGCCATTAAGGTGGAGCTGGGGGGCAAGGAGGTCCGCGTCGGATGGGGGCGGAGCCGGCCGGGCAAGAAGGGCGGCAGCGGTGCGGGCGCGGCATCAACGTCGTCGGCGCCAGCAGCCGCTGCCGAGGCCGAGACGGCCGGCAGCCTCGGCGTGCCGAGCTAGGGGCACGCTCCCGGTGGTGGAGGGAGGCCGCGCAGCATCGTGGAGGCACAAACGACGCCGCTGCTGCTGATGGCGGGGCCAGGCCGGCCAGCGTACGGCTGCACAGCATGAATACCATCCCCGCCAAGCCTTGGGCATCTGAACGACTCTCTCTCATCTGTACGGTGCGACTGCGCGTGTGTGTTGGGCCAGGCTGCTTGCATCGCCAGTCTCGCACAGTCGATCTGCTCCCTCATCGCACCGTAAGCACCCCTTGACGCTGAGTTTGATCGACGATCGCACGACGAGCAAGCGGTTGCCCGGGGAGAGAAACGGCGCTTGTAGTCGCTCGCTTGTCTTTTCGGTCCTCCGTCAGCGAGATGGGAACAAGGTACGCCGTGGGAGGGCAAACAGGTTGGCTCGATATCTTCACGATGGTTACGACGCCGGCCAGAGCGAAGGGGGGCGGCGCCCGACGACGTCGATCCGAGGAAAAGGCCGAGCTGCTTCCGAGCCACCGCATAGGCGAGGCGACCAGATCTTCGCAGCAGCCGAGTGACAGATGGCCATACATGTCTCTCTCTCGGTCTCCTCTTCAACTTACCACCGTCTCTTTCCCCTCTGCCACCACCATTACCACGCCGATCCGTACGCGCACAGCACCACCGCCCTTCCGACTTCCTTCGACACGAAATGGCATACGGACACGTACCACGACCGGCGGGCTCCAACGCGGCCGACCTCAAGCCGCGCCTGTACGCGCTGCCCCAACGGGCCAGGACCGAGGAGCGCGCTGCCGTCGTCTGCGTTCCCTTTAGCGGCGACGGCGCCGCCTCGCAGCCAGAGTACGAGGCGGCGGGTGGCAAGCTCGCCCTGCAGCCGCCGGGTGCGCTCGTCGAGCTGCTCGCCGACGTCTTTATGGCGTGAGTCGGACGTGCTGGTCCAGATCCCCGTCGCCGAGGTACACGGCCTGACCCAACCCCTCTTTACCCCGCTCGCTCTTCCCGACATCCATCGACTCCCCACAGCGAACTGGAGCGCGGCGTCACCTACCCGCAGCACGGCCCGCTAACGCTGCAAGAGTTCCGCGACTACTTCCTGGGCTACGACTTGATTGTCGCCTTCTTCCTTCCCGCCTCGGCGCTCCGCTCCGCGCCGATCCCAACGACGGGCGAGACGGTGCCGCTGTCGCACCTCACGACATCGCTGTCGGCGCTCGACTTCCGCCACGCCCTCGCCGGCTTCTACTACATCAAGCCCAACTACCCGGGCCGTTCGTCGCACATCTGCAATGCCGGCTTCGTCGTGCCGCCCTGGAACCGCGGCCTAGGCCTCGGCGGCGTGCTAGGCCAGTCGTTCCTCCATTTTGGCCCCAGGGCCGGCTACCGAGCCAGCGTCTTCAACCTCGTCTACGAAAACAACGTAGCCAGCGTCAGGATCTGGCAGCGCCTCGGCTTCCAGACTGTCGGCAAGATTCCAAAGGCCGGACTGCTCAAGAGGGCTGATGGCCAGGGCGAGGAGTTTGTCGACGCCTTTGTCATTTACAAGGACCTCGTCGAGCAGGGCGGCGACGACGACCGCGATGCGGCGGGCAAGAAGGTCGAGGACGGATCGACGCCGGCGCTCTAGACGGCGCGAGCAGGCCATGTGTAGGCATACATAGATCTCTTTTCGATGCTCGGCGGGTCAGAAAATGCATCAAAGCTGCGCGCCTTCACGACAAGCACACATCGACGGCCGCTCTGGGCGTCGAGGATCGTGGAGAGCGACTGTAAATGCGATTCGCGCGCGTGTATCGTACACTGGAGAGGGTTATCTGCCTGGATGGACGGACAGGCTCCCGAGCAGCGATGAGGAGGCCTATCGAGGACCGTCGAGGCAGGTTGGTATCATCTTCGTGCAAGATTCGGACGGACCTGCGGAGCGGTTCCAAAGACGTGGGCAGGCGGAGAGGTGACAAAGATCAGCATGGCTGCCTTTGGCTCGGCCACGCGATGTTGGGGCCAGAGGCGTTGGATCCCGGGCGAGGCGGCTGCGATGCTCACGTTCAGGAAGCTTGGCGGTATCATCTAAGCGTCGGCTAGCTCAGTATTTGAAGATGATGTAGATGGCGTGGATGATACCGGGAATGTCTGCGGGGCGAAAGCGGAAAGAGTGAAGACGGGTCAGCTACCGTGTGTGCAGGGTAGAGCGGCGGTGCAGGCAGCGCCGAGGTGCCAGCACAGGCCGTCGTCGTGTGGGCGACACTCACAACCCAGGATGGTAAGCAGGACGTTGATCCAGAAGTCGGCGGCGCATCCTCGCTCCAGGAAGACACCAAGAGGGGGAAGGAAGATGGCAAGGATCTGTTAGGCGACGGAAGGACAGGCGTGGCAGCGGGTGTATGGGGAGGGGCGATAGATCGGTCAGCGAGCTGTGGTATGCGGCCGCATCGGCCCTGGACTGGATGGCGCGCAAGGCTTTGACTGATCGACTAGACGCAACCGTCTCGCCGCCACCGTCGTCAGGCGCTGCTGGAGACACTCACGAGCTTGCAGATGTCGGAGCAGGTGAAAGGCATGTTGGCGAGTTGGACGTGGGGTGGTGCTGTGTGCTAAAAAGGCGAGCAAGAGTGTGCGAGAGTGCTTCGGTGGCGGGTGCGGTCGTGGTGGTGGTGGTGGATGCGAAACGAAAGCCCACGTTCCACCGAGCCCTGGCTCTATATACGACGAGGGGCGGTCGTCGTGGCCAGCGCCCCACCGGCCTGTTGCTCGTCTGCCTGTCGATTCGTCGCCGTTGCCTGCATCGAGACGACTACTACTGGTTGGCCGGCCAACGGGGGCCGGACGCCAGACGGGCCAAGACAAAGAGAGGCGGCTTGACCCACCCCTAGCTAGCCAGCCTGGTGAGCTGCGGGCTGCAGGCATGCCGAAGGCCAAGCCAAGCAGGGCTCACAGAAATCCCTGCGATGATGCAACGCGGCAGCAGAGTCTGGTCTGGCCGGGCCAGGGCCGGGCCAAGCCCTGGACTGCCAGCCGTACTGTAGAGGCCTAGCCTGCCGCCCGGCCTGCCTGGGCCACCAGCACGGCCGCCGGGATAGTTGCGTCACGGCCCGGAAATTTTCAGCCGCCCCTCCACCCCTGTCTCTGCTTGCGGACAGGGGAGCCTAGGGATGCCAACCCACGGCCGCCGTGGCCATACCGGACCGGCACCGCTACCATCGAGGCAACATCGGAGGCAGTCATGAAGGGCCCTGATGACGACCAAAGAGTGGCCACCATGCCGTACTCTGACGGGGACCTTGTTGCAAGGGCAACCAAAACCTCCTTCGAGTCTGTGCATGTCCGCCAGTCGAAAAGGCAGACCGACGACGCGAGAAGTCGGGCGAGCCTGCACCGCCTCTTTGTGCCGTCTGTCGAATTCGACTTGCTTGGCATGGCGGTGCGCTCGTCTTCATCGCGACGATGCTGTGTTGGCTCGTCTGGTGTTGTGTTGTGCTGCGGTTCCGATACCGTACGGACTGTAGCCGCACGTCGCAGTCATGCTGACTCCGGGACGGCATCGATGGCGGTGCAGCGCACACGGGCCTTTGACCCTCGAACGCCACAGCATCTCCCGACGGAACTCGGATCTGGTTGCTACGGCTCTCAGGGTCGATGCCGGTCGCCCAGCAGCCCGGCCGGCATGTGCTTCCCCTGGCGGGCCCTGCCTGGCGGTGCAGCCCCAGCCCGACGCCACCGTAGCAATCCGGACGAGGGTCGAGGGGGCGAGGCGCTGCGTCGGGCGTCGGGCGGACAGGCGGCGGGTGGTCGAGGCTGCAGCCCGCCAGAGTCGAGGTCGTGCGTGCTGCAACGTCAATCTCGTTAGCCCAGCCTGATGGCCGGTACAGCTGCTGATGTCGAGCACATAGACGGACCACAGCACAGCATCGCATGCCTGCATCAGTCACTGCAGTGTAACACTACAAGACCAATTTCCATTATTCCGGCCTTTGTCATTGTGTACAGAGGACTGTTGTTGTACAGATGCAGATGCTGTTCAGTGTGAAATGCAGTGTAGCATGACTTGGTGAGAAGTGAACTGTCTGTCAAAGCCTTGAGCCAGCTGCTGCAGAATCATTGCTCATTTGTTTGTGCAAGCTGCCTGTCTTGGAGGTGCCCTGTGAGGAGTACTCAGCTGCACTTCTGTGCTTGTATTGCTGCTTTCAGAAGTGGCTAGATCACTGGTTCAGCACGCTAGCCACTCATGACCCCCTCTACAACGCGACCTGTTCCTCGACGCCCATAGGAACACCAGCGTTGAGCTGCAGGTCAACAACTACCTGCGCCGTGCGTGGCGCCCAGCGACGCTGCTGGCAGTCATGAACACCACACAGGCCTCGCTCATTGCCATCCTCGGCAAGCTCTCCAGGCTTGGCCTCGTCCTGGAGCTCGAGAAGGTGCACTTCAAGGTACTTGCCCAACCGTTCCGTTTCAACGCTGCAACCGAACAACTTCTCGCCTTCAACAGCCTCATCTGGCCCCAGGTCAACGATGTTGCCAAGATTGCTGAGGCGTCTTGCAGTCTCAACCTGGGCCTGATGAACAGTAGGCTGCTCCATCTGTGACCATGTCCCTGCCTTCCGTTGGCCTTTTGTTTCCCTGACCGTTCCTCTGAAGAAAGAAAAAAAAAGAAAAAAGGGCTATACATGTGCCCGCCAAAACCCAACTTCCGCATGTGCTGCACCTGCAACATGGGCTGCTCTCCCGTGGCCTGCAACAACTTTTGGCAGACTCTTGAGCCAAAGTTTCTTCAATGCAACTGCTGCATCAACATGTTGGAATGCTTTGCCAGCTTGCATTGTCTGTTCTGATCATCATTCTGTGCTCTCAATCAAGGAGCTACAGCAGCATCAATGAGTCCTGCATCTCTCCAAGCCAGGCAACATTGCAGAACTGGCCGTCATGTGCTGAGACCATCTTGCATTGGTCTACCTCACAGGTGTGTGTGACTTCATCCTCAAGAAGAAGGACTACTGAGCGGGTACTACCGCTAAGGGGCTGTCAAGGCGACATTGGTGGCATCTCGGTGGCGCCTCCGCAAAGGTGGACCTGAAATTACGCCAAGGTGCCACCAACATCGCCTTGGTAGGGCCACCCAATAACCATAATCTGTCTGCTTTGACTCCAACATTCAAGACTGAGGAGGATACAAACAAGGCGGGGCGGCAGCTTCCCGTGCGTGCTGCTCAGCGATCCAGGCCGTCGATGGCCGACTCCATCATGGCGTCGCCGACCCAGCCGGATCCAATCGTCTGGAGGATGGCCTCCCAGTCGAAATGCGGGTCGTGCTCGCCGTTGAAGGGCAGGTGGTTGTTGGCGGCGGCGCCGTGTTGGTGCAGCTGGTGCGGCGCCTGGCCCTCGGCCGAGTCGGTGCGGTGGTGCAGCGCATTGCTGGGCGTCGAGGCGCTCGTGACAAAGCCGCTGCCGGTTCCGTTG